GCATATTTTTAGTCTGCTTTCGATCTAATGCAAAGCTCATCTGAAAAAAATTGAGGGAAAATATCGCGCAGCACTGAATATCGTTTCGGATTGATCGGCAAAGCATTGCACAATGTACTACCACCTGCTTCTTTGCCTGAAAATCCTGTGTGAAAAATAGATATCTTTGGAATCCGAATACGCTGAAACTATTGTACCGTGCTAAAATATTGTCCAGGATAACGCTTTTATCATTATTTATTTATTTATGAAAGTGACCTTATTTTTAACTAATTTGATGGATAGTGACTAGACGTGACTAGACGGCCGAACAATACCGTTCAGTCAGTCAACAGGAAAATTAAAATCCAATTAAGAACAACTAATCGCATTTCTGCGCACTAATAATAATAAATTTTAAAACAGTATCTACTAGTTAGCAGACGTAGAATTTTATTCTGTAGTTTTATAATCACATGCGACTAGATGTTATTCACTTAAATGAAAAATAAATAAGTTTCGTGAAGTCCAATGAATTTAATTCAGTATGTACATGTATGATAATAATAATTTGCTTTATTCCAAAACAGTACTTGTGATACAGAATAGAATTCACAGGACTTTACAACAGTATTGCATCCAGTTAGTACATTATCAATAAATAAAATACTACATATATTATATATATATATATACGCAAACCCCTTTTCTCTGAGTATTTTTAAAGCAGACATGATGGACGTATCTATTTATGATGATTACTGTTAGGAAGATGAGTAGATTTCAAGGGGTGTTCACTGGATTCCCCTATTGATATGGCGCAACTAAATGTAACTAATTATTACTATTTCCTCAGGTTTCAAGTGGAACCTAAGGCTTAAACAGAATATCTTTGTTTCATCCTTATCTCTGAAGTCATTTTCAGTTGGTTCTACGAGTGTTCATATGCACACATCTCTTCATCACATAGTCTTCTCCATGTCACTCTCGGACCCAAACCAGACTTGTCGTTTTACCTTTGGGGTTCCATCCGAGGGTATGTCTACAGTGGGATTTCACTCAGCATTCCTCTCAGAGTATGTTCAATCCATCTTCATCCTCTTAGGCAAATTTTCTAGCAATGAGTTCTTGGTTGGCTCGTTCCGATGTTTCTTGTTGCATGATTATACTCTCTGGCCATGTAGTAGTCCTCAGTATGCGAGGGGGAAGATACCTGTTGACAGAAGTATGCTACAGACTGTTTGAAATGCTTTTAGTGATCTACCAAGTCTTTGGATGATATATAAGAACAGACTTGATTCTGACGTTGAAAATTTGAGTCTTTCACTTGGTGCTAAGTGGATTAAATTTCCAAACTAACTTCAGAGCACTGAAGGTCTGTGTTGCCTTTTTGACCCCGGCTTTGACATCTTCATCCATGAAATGTATTTGCAGTCTTTTACAATATGAATTTTATTCTTTGCAAGTGGTATTTTAATTACAAAAGTTCTGATGGTGCTGTTTTCGAACTGTCTTATAAAAGCTTCACTATATATTTGAAACCTTGTCTGTTAAGTTGTACATTTTATTTCCTATGTGATAATCAGAAATTGAGCAGAGATTTAGTTGACGTCAACGTAGAATTCGTCAAGAAGTGGTTTCAGTTAGATAAACATTGAAAACCACAGAGTGTTAGACGTTTATTTTGTTTTAGTTTCAGAATTTAAAATAGCGTGATTCTACGAAAGAATGAAACCAAGATTTTCATGTTACAGTAGTGTGCTGCAAATCAGTGGCTTTGAACTTCTAATTAGATGAGAATCCATGATAACTGGTTCCCATGAAAATTGGGTGTTTGAACAGATTTTCCTATTCCTTTATGTTGCTAGTGAAACATAGGGCTTCAAGCTTTAGTTTGGAAGTTTCAGTATCAGGAATTTCTATTTCACGGGGTGGAGTTGCTAGCCTCATGCCCGACCTCCCTCTTTGTCGGAACTATAACTGGCTAATGGAGGTAAAGGTGTGCCCCGGAAGGGACTCGAACCCCAGACCACGTGTACGGTCTGTCAGCAATCTATCGCTGAACCACCGACGCATAAGGACAGATGATCACCGAAAAATGAAGCAACAGTGGCAAAATATTTGGAATCAACAAAATATAAAATTTATAGGCCACTAAATTCTGGTTCACAGCCCATTGGTAGACGTTCATGCCTTACAGCCTGAAAGTTTTGTATCCAATCCCTAGCTGAATATTCAAAACTAAAAAAGCAAATATCCAGTGTTTCATAACATTTACTGATTCTTTGACAAATGTCAGCTCATGGCGAAGCTTCTTTTTAAATTTCTTACCATGTTTAATGGATTTCAAAGTGTAATGTTTGAAATTACTTGAAAAACTGATGTGTCAATATGCGATTTTGATTTAATATTCTTACGAGTTTGACCAGGGATTGATGTCAGTTAGAATTCACGGGCCATTGAATCAGCTCCCAATGACTAAATGGTATACGAGCTTACTTTGTAATCGGAGGGTCTTGGGTTCGAACTCCGATGATTCACAAACTAGGATGAAACAGCTGTCCAGTAATTCCTGGTTTTTAATGGTTCTCTAACTGATATCAATCCGTAGTCGAACTCGTGAAAACAAACCTAATCCATACAAAGCAACTCTTGAAAATTTAATATTCTTTCAAAAATGCACAGCTTTAACCTTCAGTTCTAAAAATTGCTGAAAGTGCATTGTTCTAAATGAAAGTGTTTGATGGGAGCTGGTCAACTAGCTTGGTGGCCTCACTGCAAACTTGACTGATATAATTCAGCCTGTACCAAAACAAAGAGCTAGACTGATGATAATAGTTACTAACTATTATCCAATCGAAATATTCAATACACCCCTACCCACAAGAGGTCACTGGCGAGCTGGAATACCTCAGTGGTGGTAACGTCTCCGACTGCAACACTTACTGGGTGATGCGCGTTCAAATCGCAGAACCGAGATGAGTTTTTTCAAGCTGATCGCATATACATCTCGCTGACTGACGAGCGCCAAATAGCTCAAAATCTAGGCAGGGCTTCCTGTCGATCGCCTCCAATTATCTAATAACGGAAATAAAATCGCCAAAAAGACGTCTTTGATGAACTTTGTGTTCTTTTCTTTCCATTCTGTTTCTATTGCTGATCGTATAGTTTTTATTCTGTACACACATGAATTTGTTTAGATTTATCAGTTCACCCTAACTACATATTCTGGATTTTAATATTAATAACAAGAGTGAACAGATGAATAGACTGAATGAATAATTTACTCACTTATTAGTTTGTTGTAATCAGCAAACTTGGTAAACTAATCTGATAAATACAACATTCTAGTGCTCAACTTTCTTAGGTGCTACGACAGTGGCATAAATAAGTAAATTTCATTTGTTCAGAGTCATTTAAGAGTCCCACGATTGACTTCATTATATATTTGAAATCGTGTTGACTGAAATTTTAAACCTTAGTAAGATATTATTATACCAGTGTTATCAACTAATAAAACAACTTTCTTGGACCACTATGCATACCCCTTCTCTCGGTATTATTATTAGCGCTGTTCCCTTGGGTTCCGAATAGAACACAGATATTCAATAGCACTCCTCCACTTTTTTCTACTTCCTGCTACCTTCTTAAGCTGGGTCCACGGTTGCCCGTAATCTCTCGTCTACTACTCACAAGATCTCCTCTATGTCACCCTCACGCAAAGATGACCCTGTCGTCGTTTCCCATTAGGGTTCTACTCTCACCATTTCATTAGACAGTCTTCTCAGCGTATGCCCAATGCATCTCCATATTCTCCTACGTATTCGTTGAGCGATAATTTCTTGTTTCCAGAGTTTCACATCACTTATTCTTTCTGGCCAACCATTTGATCTTCATTATGGAACTAGTGAAGGTAGTCCATTGGAAATGCTTTTCATGACGGACGGGCCAGGTTCCCGACCCATGTAGAAGAAGTAATTGACTTGACATTTGTGTTGAAAATTCGAATCTTGTTGTTTAAGCAAGGCGGAGTGCAGAGGATATGTAGACTGATTTCAGAGTGTTGAAGGTGTACATCGCCTTCGTGATTCTATTTTCGATATCTTCATTCGGTCTGCCCGTAGTTGAAACGATGCTTTTTAGATAAATGAAGGAAGTAAACTCTTTCAAATTTTTCCCGTTCACGGTGGTTGGTGCTGGTTTTTCTTGTTGGTTATTCGGTTGGTTGTCTTCACCACCTCTGTCTTCTCTATGAATACTTTAGGTCCTGTCTTCTCTCCTCCTTCGTCTAGTTTGCTGGTTTTTTTCCTGTTTGTCTTCTAGCTTGTGCGATATTAGACATAAGTCATATACACGCGAAATCTAGGTCTGCTAGATTATTCTTATCGGTCGAGCATATTCCCATCTTTTTACTCTCCACACACCGTGTGACGCATGGTTCAGTCCAACACAAATAGGATTATTGTCGTTGATAATGGACTGCCTTTGTGTTCACTTCAAAGACTTGATTGACTTTCCCGTTGCAAATCACTTGACATACGGCGTCTTTATATAGCTGCTGAGTGAAGTTAATAAAGATTTTGGGTACTGCACTCCGTACTGTTGAAGTAGCCTCCAAATTACTTCGTGGTCCATCATATCGGAGGCCATTTTTCAAAGACGATAAAACTGAGGTTGAGTGAGATATGACTATTATTCTATGCCTCGTTCAATGATGATGCTTAGAGTTGCAATATGAAGGGTACATGATTTGTCTTTCCTGCTAAATCTAACTTGTCGCGTGCCGGCGCAATTCTGCGTCCAGTGAATCTCTTAGTCTCTCCAGGGTGATGCGAGTTAGCATTTTACCTGATGTGGACAAGGGCATTATTCCTCACCACTTCTTACATAGGCATAATCTGTCCCATTTTGGTTGTCTGTCAAGGTAGTTTACCTCAGTAATATGAGTGAAAACATTCTGAACCTTCTGTATTTTCTCTCTGGCTTACACTATTTGCCTTCTTTTCTCTTTTTCCTCACAGATATTTGCAGTAATTTCAATTGCTTTCATCATGTTGTCAATAATTGGCTTGAATCTGAGTACAATACCTGAACTGAGAGGAAATGCATCTGCAATCAGTGACGACGCTCATAACGGAACTCATACAACAGACTATGTGAATGAAAAATTGGAACTGTTAGAATCAGTGTGTACAATATGGTTCACATTCGAATATGCATTGCGTCTACTAGTTGCTCCAAATAAATGTGCATTTGTGAAAAGTCCAATGAATCTAATCGATGTTATCGCTATCCTGCCATATTACTTTTCTGAAATTTTTGAAGTATGGCTTCATTCACCATTAGATTCACTTGTTTCAATGCGTAAAATAGTTCAAATGTTTAGAATACTGCGTATATTACGTGTTTTCAAATTAGCGCGCCACTCCCAAGGTCTTCAAGCACTTGGTTACACATTAAAACAATCATATAAAGAATTAGGTTTACTCATGTTATTTGTTGTACTAGTTGTTTTATTGTTTTCAAGTTTAGCTTATTTTGCAGAAAAAGATGACAATAAGAATGAATTTCAAAGTATACCAGCCACATTTTGGTGGGCTATCATTACAATGACAACAGTCGGCTACGGTGATATTACACCGAAAACAGTATTAGGCAAAGTAATTGGTTCAGTATGCTGTATTTGTGGTGTCCTTGTAGTTGGTCTTCCAATTCCTATAATTGTGAATAATTTTGCCGCTTTCTATCAAGATCAGATGAGACGAGAGAAGGTGATGAAACGACAAGAAGCTCGAGATAATCATGGTTGTCTTCTAGGCAATACAGATTTTCTAAGAAGGGCTACTCAAAAACCTCAGTTGACTAGATTAAGTGGAAACATGTTAAGAAATCGTCATTCATTAGGTGTGATTCGTTCAGGATTCAGTATTGATACTGGTAGACATTGCAACATATCCAACCATGATTGTCGTGATAAACTAAAAGATAGACGGCTTCATTTCAACGATGAAGTTGGTAACCATGAAACATGTGTTACTGTCAACAATAAGTATAGGAAAGTCAGTCGTAGTGCTAATGACATTAGTAACATCGAGTATGGGGAATAAAGTTTGTGATAACAAGGAAAGAGGTGTAAATAATATCAGTGAATATCAAGATGACAAAAATGCTGCCACCTTTTTCCCACATTTGTACTCCTTCGTCCCAACTTCATTCTTTCAATCGGTTTTGATTTTTGACTGTATTACAATGAGCACATGTAATCTTTTTTAAATATCTAATATTCTTTTCAAAGATTTGTACAGATTGTTGATGTATTTTTAGAAAAAGAGAGAATAAAAAAATTATGTAAGATTAAAATTGAATTTGATTCAACTCAAAACTTCTATTATTTTCTCTGAAGTTTTTAAATTTTCGCTATTTCAAGTGAATTCTATGTATTGTCGGTCATCAGTTTGATCTTCAAGTAGTATATGGAATAAGCATTCAGTCATTGAAATTACATTTTGACGAAATGCGCAAACGCTGGTTCAGTAATGTTTGAAAAATATATTGAACTGTCAAGTGTTGGTTTGCAAGGGTTTGGTTGGTTACAGGATTGGTAACCAACCATTGGAAAACCAGATGGGAATACTGCCAGACAGTTGTTTCTGTTGTCCAAGTTTGGGACTCTTCAACAGTATGCACCCACTGTGCGTCGGTGGCACAGTGGTTAGGACTCTCGCCGACCATGCGCATGGTCCGAGGTTCGAGCCCTCACCGACGCACACCTGATATCTATGGTCGGCCTGCAAAATTTGGGTTGCGATATCCACGCTGAAAATTCCATACTTGTACCAAAAATACAGTGTGGAATCAAGCTGTAATCAAAAAAAAAATAATAATAAATAAAAAATAAAACCCAGGGAAAGGGTTGGGTCCTAGTGGCCTAATATTCTACGAGTTCGCCTCGTAGTCGGAAGGTACTCGGTTTGAACCTTGGCGGTGAGTACTGGCTCCAAACTAGGTGGACGAAACAGTTGTCTGGAAGTACTTTTAGGTTTTCCAATTGTTCTCTAACTGACGTCAGCTAACGAAATTATTCAATCTTGATACTCAGGAATCTGATGCCTGCTGGCTCTCGTATTGTCGTCACTTTTAGCCTTAGACAGGTCAGCTACATAATTTATTCTGTCAGCCCCCCAAATGAGTTGTCTGAATGCATTTCAGGAATGACAACAGTATTAGCAGTCAGCGTCATTTCATATCAAACACGCCGCTGTTTATTGTTTGAATATGCATAAAACGGTTTAAACAGACTCAGTCAAAATAGCTGATTGTCTTTACTATACTACTCACAGAAACATCATGTACTCATCTGAAGTTGCTTGTAAATCGTGATCTCTTTTATTCCTTTGTATCCTGAGTAGAACATATGGCTTCAGGCTTGAGCTATGGAGTTTTACTAGCTGTAGTTATTTGTTTTTACGAGGTGGGGTCACTAGCCTCACGCGATGAAATACAACATTAAGTACCAAATGGTTCACTTTTCTTAGATCGCTGGGTGTCAAACTATGGAGTACCCACAACTATTACAACAGACCGAGGAGCTCAATTTCAATCAACTCTGTTTCGAGAGTTTACGAGACTCCTTGGAGTGAACCATATCTCCACTACAGCTTATCATCCTGCAGCGAATGGTCTGGTGGAACGTTTCCATCGACAACTGAAAAGCTCGCTTATGGCACAAGCTGACTCATCTAAGTGGAGTGAACACCTACCATTAGTTCTTCTCAGTATCCGATCAACTGTAAAAGAAGATTTGGGATGTACACCAGCTCAACTTGTGTATGGTACTACCCTCACATTGCCTGGTCAGTTAGTTCCGTCTAATGATTCAACTGAAGTAAATATCTCCGACTTCACCAACCGCCTTACCCAGCATATGCTTCAGCTTAGACCAGTAGCCCCTCGCCAATCACTTCAGAAAGCTCAAGTAAATAAGAACCTACTCACTAGCAAATTTGTATTTGTTCGCGTCGATGCCATTAGAAAAGGTTTACAACATCCATATGAAGGTCCTTTTCTAGTACTTAAACGCACCGAAAAATACTTCACGCTGAACAAACATGGTAAACCGGAGACTGTTTCTATCGACCGTCTTAAACCAGCGTACACCGACAGCGAACATGAAACACTAGCAACGCCGACACCAATAAACAATCAGCAAGTCAATGCAACTCCAACTCTCCCGCTCTTCACTCTTCCCCCTGTACAGACACGCAGTGGGCGGCAGATCTGTAAACCTGCCCGCTATGTTCATTTCATTGACTGACATAAACGTTAACCTCATTTAGACATACTTCTCATTACTATTGTTGTTAACATTCACTTCATTATAACCATTAATATTTATTAGTATTATTGTTTGCTGTTCGTTAACTGTACTGCAAGCACACGCATTCACCAAGTATGTGTATATATCTATTTATATATGAATTTCACAAATGTTAACGAACATGTCATGGTTTATTATGTACATAAATTTTTATTTAAAATTATAACAAGTTTTGATTTTTTTTTAAATTCCTGTATGTGCTTGTATGTGCTAAACTTTATACGACACGGATGCATGCCATACATCCTGATCTAACTTTGTATCCTTATTGTTGTTGTTATTTTTTGTTATCCTTATTGTTGACATTATCCCTTATTTATGTTGCTTATATTCATGTAATCGTCCACGAGGGCAGTACTGATGGTCCTCCGGACCTCTAAGAGGGGGAGCCCTGTGGAGTCCTCAAAAAGAAACTTATCCAAATTTTACTACTATGTAAATAATGAACATATTGTACACCACTTTGTTTTAACCAGAAACTCTGTACTTTGACTTTACCTCGGGTTTTGAATAAATATATAGTTGTGCCTTCGACTCTCCGTCTTCTCCACCATCTCAACTGCCGTCGATCAATCCTAATCACCTGCTTTCTATCTCTGATTTTTGCAGGAGCACCGTAGTTTCTTCCTACGTACTTTGGTCGACCTCCGGCAACGTTAACATTGGAGAATTACTACTGGAGCAGTCTTTCCGCAGCACCTGGAGTCTATTACGTTTATTGTGGACTGTGGACCTTTGTAAACTCAAGTAATCAAACTTTAATACATTCTTCCCGTAACTAAACTCATTTGGTATTTTATTTTCTACTTGAATTTGGGTAACTAAGCTAATAGAGTGAAAAGGTCCACCACAGGTATATTCAAGTGATGATTTTTTTTGATTACAGCTTGATTCCACACTGTATTTTTGGTACAAGTATGGAAATTTCAGCATGGATACCGGTAGCGCAAATTTTTCAGGCCGACCATAAATATCAGGTGTGCGTCGACAGGGATCGAACTTCGGACCATGTGCATGGTCGGCGAGAGTCCTAACCACTACGTCACCGAATAGTATCGTTTTCATTCATCAGAGTGTGTTAAAGATGCCGGTGTCACAAATCTAGTAATAAGAGGTATTACAGCAGTTGATTTCTTGTCTGGTATTCTTTCGATGAATCTTTTCCGTAAGCTGGTATCGTACTATCCAAGCACCAAAACGTTATTTGGTTTTTCACAGTCTCCGCTGTTTTTACTCTTTATGAGGTCCGTTTCTCCTACATATTCAATAACACCTCCTTTCAATGAAGAAGGCAGTTTCCTGATTTTCCAGGGTTCAATATCTCTAGAGTGCTGGTACCACCTTTACAAGAACAAATCTTTTCACTTCCACTCAATCTGACATCTAAAAAAAAACACTGGAACATTCAGTCTACACCAAATTTCAGATATAAATCTGTCAGAGCAGGAATACTATTTCGAACTCACCTGAGGAACCCGAATGTCTCAGTCAAGGTGCTTTAAGTTTACGTTTTCCCTTTTCCTTACAGTCAACCATCTGTCTTGACTGGGCTTACCAAGAGCTAGGAAACCAGGTGAGTTGCTTAGCCCGATAGTTGAGCCGGGGCCGAAATGATGGTAGTTAATAATCTGATCGAAATAATTTACTTTTGTCTCTTATAGAACTGTTCCTTTTATAAATTATTTTATATTTAGTAAAACATATTGCTATCTTGGTTGGAACGTAGTGGATGAGATCTAGTTATACCCAAGACGCCAAGAAAAAGGTCTGATTACTCAGATAACTGAGTTAATCCATGAAGTGTGCTGATCCAAGCAGTCTTACACGAATGAAACACTCTGTTTTAGATGGCTAGATGTGGGATTTTTGTCAGCTGATGTTGAATATTTTCCACTTGGTAGAAAATTGAATTCATTACGACTTTTTTCATTGAACAGGTGTTTGAATTGAATGCTCTAAAGTTTAATTTGCAAGGAAAGATAAAAATATCACAACAATGAACTTCTGTCGAAAGGTGTTTTGGTTTCTCCACCCTACTTTCGCCTGTGAAGATAAGGATAAGTTTTGCTGAAGAGTGTCGAACTGGGACAAAGTAGATATCCAGTTCGCTATGGTTTTCAGTAGTTCTTTAAGTGAAGTCGATTTGTGATCGAAATTCTAATCACTGAAATCCCTGCAAACAAACATGTGAAAATTAAAAAATTCTATCGGATTTAAAAAAAGAATACAATTAAAGTTTGTTCGCATGATTTACACAATAATTTAGATGTTTCTATTAGTTACTTCTAGTTTGATTTACTTGAAAGGCTTTGAGGCAAAGCAGAGTTGTGTAGGCGCAAAGTTTATTAAGTTTGAGGTATTTTATTCAACCTATTTTCGAATAAAACTCCCCAATATCCGAGTTTTTTATTTTCGTTTACACGATATGTTGCAGTGAAAATGAAAGTTTATTACTGTTGCAATTTTTTTCGAATACACATTCGCGCATGAACGCTTGCGTGTACACATACTTCTGGTAACACTGATTATACTTTTTTTTTATAAACTTCTATGAAGAAAGGGATTTATTGTGAGCTGTAATCACTTTAAGTGGATATTTAAAATAGTTTAAGTGATTGAAACTTGAAAACTATGTGTAGGGATTTTTAAACCTCCTCATTAGTAAATTAGTTTAGGTATATGCATAGTTTAGTTTTGATAAATGAAGCTACTTTCAAATCACTGACTCCATGTGGTTTTTAAATGTTAGCATAGAAGAATAACTTAAACATTATTTAAGATACTCTTATTGATGGGAAATAACTTGTGCTAGGCCATTGAGTCAGAAATGAGGAGTTTGGTGTAAGTGTGAGAGTGCTGTGAAGGAGATCTT